TTTCGACAAATATATACACCTAAGTAAACTCCTGAGGTGGCGCTATTGGTTATTGCGCTGGATTGCAAAGCCCGCTTGAACCAGGAGGCCTGTGGCTCAAGTTCACCAGCTGCTCCTCGGAAATCCTATACAGGATCACTATGGGTTGGGACCCAACTTGATGGCACTTAACAACAACAAACTATTAAAATTAAGATATAAAATAAATAAAACAGCTTTAAATGCATAGTTTTAAGTGTCAAATGAAAAAGGCAGCATGTGTTGTGAAGGAATATTTTAATCATAGTTGCTTTAAGTTTATACACTAAAATTTTTAAGTTAAAAAAAGATTCAAAATTAATTTTTAAAAGGACACTCTAGAAATAAAAGAGCGATAAGAACTGAAAATTCTTGGGATCCATTAGTCCAGTGGACCAATGGAACATGTGAACATCAGTCTCCATCCAAGACTATGAGGCCAGTAGAACTAGATGGTGCCCAGCCACCACTACCAACTACTCTGAAAAGGATTGCATTAGAAGGTCCTGGACAGAGTAGGAAAAAATGTGGAACACAGCTCAAAATTATTAATAATAATTTTAAAAGACCAGAATTACTGGTCAGAAAGAGACTGGCGGAACCTGAGACCATGGCCCTTTAACCACCTTTCAAGTCTAGTAAGGAACTTACACTCATGGTCCATGGTAGATACTTACACTCATGGTAGATACGTATATAGAGGGACAACAACATTAGTGATACAGACTCACCATGGAATGGTCAATCATTCAAAATCAAAAGGGCAACATTTACCTAAGGACAAAGTTGAGAAGGGATAGGAAGGTAGATGGAATGGAAATAGGAAGGAATCACAGGGAGGAAGTGGCAAAACTGTTGTTGTATGAAGGGGATTGCAATCAATGAAATGAAACAAAGTGTAAACCTTCACCAATTCACAATAAGTTTTTTAAAGAACATTCTAACTAAATCACAAACTGGTAAAGCAAGAGTTAAGGATTAGTGAGAAAAACAATTGTACTTATGCATTGATTATTTTTTCAAAAACATTTAGTGATTATTAGATAGATGATGCTGTTATTAAAACTATAAGCCTTTTCCATGAAAAGAGACATGGCATTTCCCAGGTTGGACTTTTGGGAAGCAAGCAATTTTTAGATGCAGTAAAAATTAATCTGGTTTAATAAAGTGATTTGAAGTAAGAGTAGTACAGGAAGACTAGAGTGTCTTAGAAGCTTCCTGCCTAAGAACAAAAGGTCATGAACATAAAAAACATTTTCTTGAGAACAAAATTTCTAGCCCCTTGCAGCAATTCACATTCAAGAAACATTCAGGGATATGAATAAAGATTTACACCCAAGAATGCTTACCATAGGGTGGTGTTGAAGTGGGAAATTTTTGAGTAACCTATATCTTCAAGAAGAAGAAACTGTGTAATAAATTATGATACCCACATGAAGGAATACTATTCTGATATATTAAAATTCATATCTTCAAACATGATATATTTTCATGAAAATAAGTCAAAAGTACATATTATATGATAATAACATATGTATATAGTAAAATAAACTGATAGACAATACATCAAAATATTAAATACTAAATAATATTAATGATTTTTATTTTCTCTTTTCTATATTTCTATCCACCACTTGTCTGTCAGTTTATCATAGTGTGATGGCTTGTGCTCTGCTCCTTGGAGGCCAGGACGGCCAAACTTCATTTCTCATACTTCAGACATATTGTCAGGAAGGACCAGTCGCTGGAGAAGGATATCATGTCTGGTAAGGTGGAGGGTCAGAGAAAAAGAGGAAGTCCCCCCAATGAGTGGCAGCATCGATGGACTCAAGTGTGGCAACAATAGCGAGGTTGGCCCAGGATCGGGCAGTGTTTCATTCTGCTATGCATAAGGTCGCTATGGGTCGGTACCGACTCAATGGCACCTAACAACAACAACAAATACAAGTCCAACAACTAACATTTCCAGAGAGAAACTGAAAGTATTCCCCCTTCATGAATAGGAACAAGGATGCCCTTTATCACCACTCCTATTCAATACTGTGAAAGTTGGGACAATGAGCAAAGAAGACCACAGAAGAATTGTTGCATCTGAATTCTGGTGTTGAAAGTACCATGGACTGCCAGAAGAACAGTCAGAAATGCTCCTTGGTAGTGGTGATGGTGTGCCGTGTAGTTGGTTCTGACTCATAGCGGACTCATAGTGACCCTGCATAGGGTTTCCAAGGCTGTAAATCTTTATGGGAGCAGAAAGCCTCATCTTTCTCCATGGAAGGCTGGTAGTTTCAAACTTCTGACCTTGAGGTTAGCAGCCTGACTCGTAACCACTGAGCTACCAGAGCTCCTTAGAATGCTCCTTAGAAGCAAAGGATCTAGACTTTGTCTCTCACACTTCAGACATGTTATCTAGCGGGATCAGTTAATAAGGAAAGGCCATCATACTTAATAAAGTGAAGGGTCAGCAAAAAAGAGGAAGATCCTCAACAAGACTGACTGGCACAGTGGCAGCAACAATGGGCTCAAGCATAACTACAACTGCAAGGAGGGCACAGGAGCGGGCAGGTTTTTGTTTCATTGTGTATAAGTTCACTACAAGTCGAAGTACCTAAAAACAGGGAATAAGGAGTTATAGTTAAGACTATGGCTAGATCTAGGGCTTAGTTTGGTGGTGGTGGTTATGTGCCATGGAGTCAGTTCCGACTCTAGCGACTCTGTACAGGGTTTCCAAGACTGTAAATCTTTACGGGAGCAGAAAGCCTCATCTTTCTCCCGCGGAACAGCTGGTAGTTTCAAACTGCTGACCCTGAGGTTTGCAGCCTAATTCGTAACCACTACGCTACCAGAGCTCCTTAGGGCTTAGTTTAGTGTTAGGGTTATTGTTAGAGGTAGGGGTTGGGCTACAGCTGAGTAAGGCTTGGTCCAGCTTTAGGGATACAGTTGGGTTTTTAATTTTGTTTTGTTTTTGAAATCTACTTGATTTCCTTCATTTTAAAGTTCTGTAGGTACATTATTTCTTCTTTTTACTTATAACTGATATTTCTGTTTGCCTTTGAGGAGACAGCTCTTCCTCAGTCACATTTTGAGTGTCTTCCAACCTGAGGCTTATCTTCTGGCACGCATCTGACAATATTCTGCTGTCATTTTCCGGCACTGTATCTGACAATGTTCCTCTGCTATTCATAAGGTTTTCAGTGGCTAAACATTCATAAGTAGTTCGCCTCTCCTTCTTCTTAGTCTGTCCTAGTCTGGAAGCTCTGCTGAAATCTGACCACCATGGGTGGCCCATGTTTTAAAGTGCCATCAAGTCAGTTCTGACTCATAGTGACCTGTATTGAATTTCCAAAGGGTGGCTGGTGAGTTTGAACCACCAACCTTGCAGCTCAAAACAACCTTGCAGTCTAGTGCATTATCCCACAGTACCACACCAGGACTCCATGGGTGACCCTGATGGTATTTAAAATACCGGTGACATAGCTTCCAGAGTCCTGGTGTGGCGCTGTGAGTTAAAGGGCCAGACTGCAAAGCCATTTGAACTGCAGAGTCGGCGATTCAAACTCACCAGCTGCTCCTCAAAAACCCTATACAGGGTCTCTATGGGTCAGAATCAACTCGACAGCACTTAACGACAACAAGATGGCGTCCAGCATCACAGCAACACACCAGCCACCACATTACAGCAAACTGACAAAAGAGAAGTGAAACAGTCCTATCATCTATCAATTGTTCGTCTCTCTCACTGCTCCTGTTCAGCTTCCTCGTCCAGTTGGCATTCAGTCCACCTCTCTGTCCTATCCTCTGAAGCTCTGGGTTCCTGAATAACCACCTGTATCTGTTTCCATTGGTGTCTCACATTTTTGTTGCAGAGGGTCTGCTCAGAAGTCCTTAACAGATATTTCTTGTTGAAATTCAAAAAATGGATAAAATTTGTAAATCTCTGTAGGGGAAAAACATTAGTTTTGCTACTCATTTTAGAATTTTAAAAGGTAAAATTAAAGAGACTAAGTGAACATTGTTGTTGTTGGGTGATTTTGAGTCAATTCCAACTCATAGCAACTGCATGTGACAGAGAACTGCCGCCCTAGGTTTTCTTGGCTAAAATCATTACAGGAACAGATTGCCACGTGTTTCCCATTCGTTGCCGCTGGGTAGGTTCAAACCACCAACCTTTTGACTAGCAGCCAAGAGCTAAACTGCTGCATCACCAGCGCTCCCTCACATCATGATAAGCTCATGTCAAATACGGAAGTTAAAGAAATGTCCCATTTAAAGTATATGTGTAGTTAGCATTGTAGTCCCCGAATTGTGCAGTTAACTCATTTAACTGCTAACTGAGATCTGGATGATTCAAACCCATCCTAAGGCACTTTGGAAGAAAGACTACAATCTGCTCAAAAAAAAAATCAACCACTGAAAACCTCATGGAATATTGTTCTATTTTGACACACACAGGGTCGCTATGAGTTAGAATCAGCTCAAAAGCAACTGGTAGTTAGCATCAGAGAACAGTAGATTCGCAGAAGGCTGGGATTGCCACTACTCAGAGCAGAGGTCACTAAAACTCATAGGTGGAACTGGGAGATGGGGATGGAAGAGAGAAGTAACTGGGCAAAAACCCAAAAAAACAAATCCACTACCACTGAGTCAAGTCTGACTCATAATGACTCTGTATAGGGTTTTCGAGGCTATGAATCTTTTCAGAAACAGAAAGCCTCATCTTTCTCCTGAGGAATGACTGATGGGTTTGAACTCCTGGCCTTGTGGTTAGCAGTCTAGTGCTTATCCTACAACATCACCCAGAGAAAAAGACTGAAACCCACTTGTCTCACGCCCAACCCTTCACAACACAAGGGTTAGAAACCCTGCCAGTCCCATATGCAGACCTCACATCCTCAGCTGGAGATGGAGTTCTGAAGACAATCCCATCCTCAACACCAGGCCCTTCCAAAGTGCTTGGAGGGCCCCAGGTTGCTGTCTGGACTCACCGCCTTCCGCCATGCCTGCATGCCTGCGTTGGATGTGGCCCCGGAGAAAGATGGCATTCATAAATGTCTTGTCACACAGGTGGCACTACACAGAGAGGGTGTAGTAGGGAAGACATGATTAGGATCATTTGAGTCATCTGGGTTCTCCTCACACACACCTCCCATTCCTCTAGGGCCACTGAACTGCTTCAGAAATCAATCTGATTTACTGAGTAAGACAGTGACATCAACCCTGGCTACACATTAGAATCACCTGTTGTTGCTGTGTGCTATCAACTCAGTTCCAACCCATAGCAACCCTGTTTCCAAGGAGCAGCTAGTAAGCTTGAAGCACCAACCTTGTAGTTCAAACTGACTTTGCAGTCCAGTACATTAAACGAAAGTGCCACAGATATCAAAAGCTACCAGTGCCCTAAGGGGCCAAAAATACTGACTGGATATTTGACACTTAGGGACTTTTTGTTAGTTTTTGAGTGTGTGATAATGATACTGCATGTAGGTTTAAAAGTGGAAATCCTTGTCATTAGACAAATGCTGAACTATCTCCAGATGAAATTATATGGCAAATAAGCTTTAAACTAATACAGGAGTGGGGACAAGTGGGGACAGGAATGGGTGAAACAACATTGTCCAGGAGTTGATGACAGTTGGGCTGGGTGGTTGTAGATAAAAATCCAAGATTCATAGAAAATGTTTATTGTAGGGGGGGAAACTATGCATGGATTTAAAAAAAAAAAACTTTGCACCAAAATAAACTTGTTATAACATGTCTGAACAGGATCTAGCTTGAGGCACTAAAGATAAGACATCTGTTTGAAAAAAATCCCCCATTAGAGCAACATGAATTCTGCTAAAATTAAAGCAAGAACAAATATTAAATTTATGGTGAAGCTTGGGTGGAAGAAAGGTGGAATCATTAATGCTTTACAAAAAGTTTACGGGGAAATACCCCCAAAGAAATAAAGCAGTTTACAAAAAAGTAATTTATTTTGAGAATGGTTGAGACAATCATTTTATGAGCTAAAAAATCTATCTTGTTTGTACCCAGTTTAAGAGGATTGATGATTAACAGCAAAAATCACCAACATCATAATTGGTTCCATTTACACAATTCTTACAGAAAAATTAAAGTTGAGCAAATGTTCTGCTCAATGGATGCCAAAACTGTTGCACCCAGATATCCTGTAGACAACAGCAGAGCTTTCAATGGAAAGTTTAAACAAGTGGATCAAGATCTTATAGCAGTTCTTTGAAGAATTATAACAGAAAATGAAATGTTGCTTTACCATACCTGTATAATCCTGAAGATAAAGCACTGGCTACCAAGCCATGGAAATGGCTCAGTAAAGCAGAAGCAGACTGGTCTAGAGCAAAAGACCATGGAAACAGCGTTTGGGGATGCCCAAGACACTGCTTGTGGACTTTCTGGAATGCCAAAGAAGAACCACCTCTACTTATTGTGAGACTATTTTGAGAAAGTTAAACAAAGCGGTAGCAGAAACATGCCCAGGAGAGTTTCACCTAGAGTCTTTCTCCACTAGACAGTGGTCCTGCTTATTCTTCTCATTAAAGAAGGGCAATTTTGAGAGAGTTTCTAGGGAAATTCACTAGGTATCTAACACCTTACAGTCCTGATTTGGCTCCTTCTTACTTCTTTCTATTTCTTAATCTTATAAAATCTTTAAGGGGCACCCATTTTTATTCAGTTAACAATGTAAAAAAGAACACAATGACATGGTCAAATTTGCAAGACCCTCAGTGTTTGGGATGGAGTAAAAGCTGGTATCATTGCTTACAAAGGCGTTGTGACCTTGATGGAGTTTATTTTGAGAAATAAAGTTTGCATTTTTTATTTTTAATGCTTCAATTCCATTTTTCCATGAATTTTTTGAAGTCCTCTCACATTATTCACTCTATTTTTGTAAATATTTGAAATGTTTACATGATAAAAATAAATTGTAAGAAAATAATGCTCAGGTCCCACCCAAGGTTATGATGCAGAGGCAGCAGCTATCATTCTGCATTCTTCTCCTAAGGCATTTCAGACATATAATCTATGATACAACCTCTCCACTATAGAACTTCAGAATCTCTCTCAGTACAGCTTTGCAGGCTACCATTACTAGCCAGTCAGAGTAAGAGGGCAGATTAAACGAAATTTACCCATGCATAGAGTGTGGCATGGAGTCCCGGTGTGGCATTGTAGGCTAAGTGCTTGACTGCTAACCACACAGTCAGCAGATCAAACCCACCAATCACTGCTTGGAAACCCTATACAACAGGGGTGGGGAACGTCCAGGCCGAAGGCCATATAAGGCCCATGAAATCATTTGGTATGGCTCTGCCAAGGCATATGCAGTTCCAATCATTACGTTGTTGTTGTTGTTATGTGCCATCGAGTCGGTACTGATTCACAGTGACCCTTTGCACAACAGAACGAAACACTGCCAAATCCTGGGCCAACCCCACAATTGTTGCCACACTTGAGCCCATTGATGCTGCCACTTTGCCAATCCATCTTGCTGGGGGTCTTAACATTAAGGGTGAGTTAATTAAACGTTTGACCAACTATATACAGCAGGATAATTTTAAGTTGATAATTTTGTATGGGCCCCAAATGATGTTATAAATACCCAAATGGCCCTTGGCAGACATAAGGTTTCCCACCCATGCTACACATGGCCGTTATGAGTCAGAACTGACTCGACAACTCTTAACATACAGTGTGGTGGCTCTGTAGGATAAATACTAGACTTCTAAATAAAAGGAAGGCAGAGATTCAAGCCCACCAGCCACCCTGTCAAAGACAGATGAAGCCTTCTGCTCCCACAAAGATTTACAGCCTCAAAAACCCTAATTAGAGCTGCTATGAATTGATACCAACTCGACAGCACTTAAAAACAACAACTTTTGCACAATGGCAAATGAACCAGAAATAGCCAGTTGTCACTCAATATCCACTTTCCCTTTCTTACTGAGTAACAGGAACCTTGAACATGAGGCCATAAGAAGGTTGCAAGTCTCCTTAGAAACCGGGCATAACCATGTGACTGAACTCTAGTCAACGACATAAGAAAAAGTGGCAATGCAACTTCTAGTGAGTGCCATTAAAGAAGTGGTCATGCCAGCCTTCACACGTGCTCCCCCTGCTGGATAGAATGAGCGATGGAATTCAGGCAGCAGTCCTGGTACCACATGATGTGGTGGAGAGAGAAACAACACAGAAAAAATTTGGTCTCTGATGACTGTGCTATTTCATACCAACCATGGATTGCTTATCTCCAGATTTTGTTTATTAAAGGGATAAATAATCTTCTTTCTGGTTTAAACATTTGTTATTTGGAGTTTTCTGTCACTCATAGTCAAACCTAATCCAAACAAACTCAGTCTGAATTGGCAGACGTTGTGTACACTAAGGTCTCCTGGTGTGGTGCTGTAGAATCAGCACTGGCCTACAAACCACAAGGTCGGCAGTTCAAACCCACCAGCTGCTCCTCGGAAACCCTGTACAGAGTCTCTGTAAGTCAGAACCAACTCACAGCTAACAACAACAACAGAGTATTATAATAATTGTTTAAACCAGATAAAGGAGTCCTGGAGTGGTGCTGTCAGATAAAGCACTAGATCACAAGGTCGGTTTGAACCACAAGGTCAGTGGTTCAAGCTCACCAGCTGCTCCTTGAAAACCGTATACAGGGTCATTATGAGTTAAAACTGACACGACAGCACTTAACAACAACAACAACAAGAGTACTATAATAATTGTTTAAACCAGATAGAAGATTAGTTCTCTCTTTTACGACAAAATCTGGAGATAAGCAATCCGTGGTTGGTAGGAAACAGCACAATCATCAGGACGCAAGTTTTTCCCATGTGCTGCTCTTTCATTTTCAGTATGTGGGTCCTGCCTCACAGTCCAAGAGGCCTGCCTGAATTCCATTTCTCAAGAGGGAGGAGTGTGAGGAATGGCATGACTCATTCTTTAATAGCGCTTACCAGAACTTGCCACCACTCGCCTGTCAGTTTGTTGTACTGCGGTGACTTGCTTGTTGAAGCGATGCTGGAAGCTATGCCACGGGTATTTTAAATATCAGAAGGGTAGCCTATGATGGACAGGTTTCACCAGAGTTTACAGACTAAGAAGGAGGAACAGATGACTTCTGAATGTTTAGCCACTGAAAATATTATGAACAGCACCAAAGTATTGCCAGATATAGCGCTAAAAGATGAGCCACTCAGGTTATAAAGCACTCAAAATGCAACTGGGGAAGAGCATTTTGTAAAGTTGAGCATGATGACGCGAATGGAGTAAAGCTTTCAGGACCTTCATCTGTTGATGGACCACAACTCAAAAGGAGGAGAAGGAGCTGCAAACATCCATTATTAATCAGAACATGGAATGTACAAAGTATAAATCTAGGAAAGTTGGAAGTTGTCAAAAATTGAATGGAATGCATAAACATTGATACCCTAGACATTGGTGAGCTGAAATGGACAGGTACTAGTCATTTTGGACCTGACAATGATATGGTTTACTATGCTGGGAACAACAAATTAAAGAGGATTGGCATTGCATTCATCACCTAAAAGAACATTTCCAGATCTATCTTGAAGTATAATGCTGTCTGTGATAGGATAATATCCATATG